ACCCTTTCCTTTCACGCGACGCGTTCGCATCGCTTTACCCTCGCCGTCATCGGTAAATTTTCTCTTTGTAGATTTTTGTCGGCGTACCTTTAGCCGGGCGTATGTTGCGCAAAAGATACGCGGTATACGTATACTATATATTCGTCGAAATTACATTAATGAGATATATCTAAGCGAGCTCAGTCTGCGATTTTGCTAACATCTCTCTCGTACCTCGCTAAATTAAGTAACACGCATTTAAAGAGCGAACCATCCGTCCGAATATTTGTTATTTTGTATATAATAAAATGAATAAGAGTTTTAAAAAATATTACTCTGTTTTTTGAAACATTTTTGATTTTTAAGATTTCTACAAATTGATTTATTTAAAAATTATTTGATTGTTGATTGTAATTTTTCTAATAATAATAGATATATAAATTTAATAAATCATGCATTATAGAATAAAGCCAATAATGCGTAATCGCGTCTTATTATTAAATAGGCCGGCGCAATTCGCGGCAAACTATATCGCGGTATTTAGGGTAACAAATAGAAAGGTAAAGCCTACCACTCATTATTTTTAGGGTGGATTGGCTGAGATATTATGTGTACCGCGTATACCCCGTCTACCGACGTAATCAATGAATGGACCAGGCGGACAATCCCTCTGTGACAAAAGCCCGACATTTTCCGGCTTTTCAGTCTCATTACCGTAATAATGCAAATGAAAAGGAATTTTGCGAGTTTGTTCGGTGCCTGCTTTTCTTGCTTTTCGCGACCAGCATCTCCATTTTTCATCCGCCGCTCTACCGGAGGACTTAACGCTGAAGAGATAGAATGTTGTTTAGCTATCGCCCATACGTTTATTTATTAATTAATGTACTTATTCATTTTGTTATGAATAAAAGCACGCGTACGTGGATATTTAGATAAAACACGAAACTATATGATAAAAAGGCACACACTATAGTAATATAGCAATTGGATATAAAAACGTACGATATGAATAATTAAATCAATAATTTCGAATTTAGAAAAAAATCAATATTTTACGCGCGATGGCTTTTTAGATTTTATCTTTACGACGAAAATATAGATAAATCTTTCCATTCGATGCGAGACATATCTGAAAGCGACGAGTGAATTAATCGTGATTGCGAGTAATCGCGATCGTAATCGGCAGATGCAACGCGATGTATTGTCTTGCAGTAGAAAGTTTTTATTTCGATGCGATAACGAGGAAACTTCACCATTGAGTATTCTTAATTCGTTGCTAGACTTCATTTCAATCCTCGTACTGTTCAAATATTAATATGAAACGAACGGAAACTAGGTCAGGATTGACTAAAGATTTTCTTTTCACGAGATTGTAATTAATTTTCTAATAATAATTAATATTCGGTATATTCGTCGATGATAATTATTTATTATTAGAATCAACACGAAAAAAATAAAAAAAGGGATAAAAGAAATATGTTTATAACATAATATGCTCGTCGAAACATATAAAAATAAGCGATAAAAATAAACTGTGCGAGATTATATAAGAAGGTGTAAGAAAGATGAAAGAAAAAAAAAATAATTATCGGGGGAATGTGCGACTTCAGATATTGTAGCCGCTAAAAAAAATACTTTTCCACCTCAAAAATCACACAAAAAAAATGAGGAAACCGAGAAAAGAGAGGAAAAGGAGAAAATAATCTGACAAATGTTTGGTTTCAGACAGACAATCATGTATGTCAGTTTAAAACATTATATATTACCCGCACGTCCAATAATATTAAGAATATTTAGAGTGAGAGGATCGACAAAACGATTTTTTTTTGCAGAGGGAAAAGAAAAGATGGAGGTTAAAATAATCATGACAGATGCTTGATGATGACCTGGCGGAGAGATGTATCTCGACATACTACAATGCTCGCGACCTAACATGCGCGCGCGGTGACCATTGACAAGAATAATTCTCCATCGAAAAGCTGCACGGGCGAAAATAAGGAAAAGGAAGGGGAGAAGTGAAGGAGGAGAGAGAAAAATAAAAAAAAAACTGCGCGCACACGCGGAGAGAGAGAAACCGGAGAGGGCGAGCGTTGGTGTTCCTCAGACAGAGACACATAGCCCCGAGCTATGTAATTCATTACTAAAGCAATCTCACCCTGGCACCCTCTCTAGCCTGCACCCTGCCGGCAGCCCTGCCTCCGCCCCTGACCCATCAGAGCCGCCCGAGAGAGCCCGCACGTTATAATATAAAAAAAGAAGATGAGCGGCGACGAGAGACGGCGGCGACGGCGGTGGTGGTAGCGAGAGAGGGTGGGTGTACAGGACGAAGCGACGCAGAAGGGGAGGCGGGTAGGAGAGCGCCCGATTAGAATAGCGCCCCCTGACAACAAAACAAAATGAAACACAAAGCAGTGTTTTCATAATTAAAAAGATTGCGCGCGCTTCTTTCTTCCTACCATTCCTATTCATGCCTCTTTTCATTTTTCCTCTCTCTCTCTCTCTCTCTCTCTCTTCCCCTGTTCTGCTGTTCTGTTCTCCAATCTCTCACTCGCGCGCGTTCTCGCTCTCTCTTCTCTTCGGACAGAGACAAGACGCGAGACAGAGAGGAATTCAATAACCCGTATTAATACCGCGTCGTCTTTAGAAACGGGCAGACGTATTAAAATGTTTTAATCAACTCTGACGCGAGTAATCGAATCTGCAATCACCAACCTTGCCCGATCACAAGTTCGCGACATTCTTCGAATCTCCAGCTGGACCGAAGGAGATGTTGCATTTTGCACGAGCGATACAACGGATACAATCAGAATATCGTCGACGCGACGATTGGGACATTTTTTCAAATTTTGCCTATCTCGTTTGTTTGCGCTAGCTCTAATTGAAAAGAAAAAAAGAAGGAGAAGAAAAAGAAAAAACACAGAAACCCGCAATGTCTCCGTGTTTGCAGTCAATGCGCCAAGTATCAAAGGAATTCGAGCTCGGGGGAAACGTAAATGGGCGCACCCCAGGGAGACGCGGGCGCCGCACAATGTATCAAATATACGAGGTTGCATCAATCAAATGATTGCATATTTATCCGTCCCCATCCGCGTGGATATGACTGAGAGGCAAAATACGCCGTCGCTAATTTACGGCGTATTTAACGGAACGGATACTCTTCATCGCCGCGGTTGTCGATTCGCCTCGATCATTTAACGCATACGACTCGACAAAAGCGAGGGAAATGCACGACTTTATTTAGCCCTCTCCGAGTGGAATATTCGATTTTCTCTTTCGAAGAAAAATGTTGAGATAAAAATGAAACGTTAATAATTCTTTCTGTCTCGTTTTGAACAAATGTATCTCCGTATCCCCATACATTCTTTTACGATGAAAAAAATTCCACGTATTTATTTTAAGCAGGATTTGGAGGAAGCAACGCGTTACGTCTGGTTTAGAAATTGTAACGATTGTAATCGTTACTTTTTGAATAACAATATACATAACACGAGTTACTTTTATAGAGTAACTTCATCAACTCAGATTTTTTTTTAGATACACAAAAATATCTATATATAATATATATTCAATACAAAAGAGTTGCATACTTTCTTATAAAGAGTCAAGTTAGAGTCTGGGGCACTGCTCTCATTTTGTCCAAAAGAGATTGTGTGAAGAATGAAAATATGCTCTATATGTAGCATTTACAAACTAGTTACAACATTGAAATTTTCAATATTTCCATAGATTTATAGACGGCGTTCCCGTTGAGAGCTTGAAGACAACATTATTAAGAGAAGACAATAGAAAGTTAGATGCTTTCCTTGCCTGATTGGTAGGGAGAAAAGAGGAGAAACGGTCGCTTCATACTCATTTTCCCTTACATCATCCCTTCCCAGAACATTATGTGACAAGAAGAGAGTACGCGTGTGTCTCTGTCCTTCAATCTTATCCTCAGCTATCGTATAAAAGCTTGCAATATATTTATATAAATCTACGAATATTTTTCTGATTGATCTCGCTATCTTTTATCAAAAAGAGAATCTTAGACAATCAGTAGTAGGTTGGTAGCGTCCAGACTTTAACTTGAAAGTCTTTTTACTTGTTTGCAATGTATATCAGAAATCAAAGAGTAAGAGACATAAAATTATTTCGTTTTCAAATTATTTCTCAAGCGATTGAAAGAGCTAAAAGGGGAAACTAATAATTGCAACTAAAAAGAAATTTACAAGAGTTTCTCAATCTCTCAATTTCAATAAAATTTTAAAAATATATATAGATAACATAAAATAAAAATATATATAGAAAAATCTATATATTTAAATTTATTTTTATTCGCAATGAAAAAGATGTCGACTCCGAATTAAAATTTGTAGCCGTAAATTTTACTACGTTCGATGTATATATGTAAACACTTACGTTATATTTAAGGCCTATCGGTGCCACCATCTGCGTCCCGACACGTTTTCGTGGTTTTGCCCTTGGAGAAAGTCGAAGAAAACCGAGCTTGCCGAGCGATCGAGCTTATTTCCGCCTGGAAGGAGAAGAAGACGAGGAATAAGAAAAGTAAAACAAAAAAAGAAGTAATAAAGAAAACACATACATTGGCAAAAAGAAAGGGGTACGAAACGAGGAGAAACGAGCAAAGCGCGAACGGAACGCGAGCGAAGAATGACGAAGAAAGAGCAAAAGCGAGGAAAAGGAGAAGAAGGGAGGGAGAGGGCGGAAGACAGCGGGGGTGAAAAGGATAAAATATACGCGGAGGGAAAATGGGGAGAAGGACGAGGAGGAGGGAGGAAAGCGCAGACCGCGATTTAGCGGATTTTCAACGTAGCCGCTCTGCACAAATCTCTCACCCCTCGCGGAGGGGTGTGCGCGATTCTTAACGCGACAGAACCGCCCCCGGAGCCGCGCGGCCAATGGCGGCGCCATCGCGCGAGCTCGGGGGGTTGCGAGAACGGAGGGTGGCTACCCCTCTCGCTACAAACTGCTCGCTCACCCTCCCGAAACGCGGACGAGCGCGACGACTCTCCTCCGCAGTGCTCTCGCCATGTTCGCGCCGAACGAGCGGCCCGTCGTCCTTTTGCTGCGATAGTGAGGATTTCCAAGCTCAGGAGAAGAGTCCGTCTTCATCTTTGCGAACGATCAAGAGCGATCAAGAGGAAACGCAGAGCGAGGACCGATAAATATAGGGAGGGGACCGCGGTCGCCCGCCATGGCGGGTCCGTATCTGTCGCCCCTCGGGCCCCAAGCGGATTTATTAACCGAATACATGTTCGGCCGTCGTCGTCAGGTCAGTGTACGTTTCTCTTAATTTCATATTCAACTGTTATCAATTTGTCGAGCGACGTCCGGTCGTCGTTGATCGAGTGCACTAAATTGGTACCTGGTTAAACTGCTCGATTCTTTCCGAGAAATATCAGACAAATACTCGGATATCTGTATTTGTTTGGATATTCTCAATCTTTTTAACCGAGTTTTTTTTTATATGACGAGATCTAAATAAAATATATACGGATATTGAAATGTGAAAATAGAAGATAAATCTCGCAAAAGTAATTCGAACAATTCTGGTAATTGTGTGTGTAAAATTAAATGTCTAGGGATAAATAATAATATTCGTAAAAAAACATGACTTGTATAATATAAACAAAACGAATATTTAATATTCATATTTAATTTGAAGAAGTGAGAAAAAATTACTCATAATTATATATAAATTTATATATGATAATATGTTGGCAATTTTTTCTCATTTATTCAAATTTTGCTTTCTTAAAAAACGATACAAAAATTATTTTTCTATTCTTCTTCTTATATATATAAGAAGACGAAGAATTGAGAAATAATTTTCGCGTTGTTTTTTTTCAAGCAAGACTTGAAAAAGTGAGAAAATATATATTTAAAAAAAATATCTATATATTGATTCTAATATGTTTTGCATCAAATATCATAAACGCTATAATGCCATCACACACATCATGTGATTAGCGTGCTATCACACGCTGCCGCGATTAAAGACCGTTAAATATTTTTAAAAAGTATGTAAGATAAGAAAAATTTTGGCGACATATGTAACACTCGAATTCTTGTAACTTTTTCAAGCAGAGACGCAATCGGACAACGTTTACGCCGCAACAGCTTCAGGAATTGGAATCTCTTTTCCAGAAAACGCATTATCCCGACGTTTTCCTTAGAGAGGAAGTCGCACTTCGGATATCGCTCTCAGAAGCACGTGTTCAGGTGAATTTATCTTGCCGATCATACTTTGTTAATATTTCACTTATAATTATTTCATCTATATTAACGCTTTCTCGCTTATCTTCGATGAGTTTCTATCAATATTATAACTATACAAGTTTTCCTAGTGCAATTAAAAACGTATTAACTAAAAATTTTGTTACAAATGCCTAATTAATTAATGAATGAAACACGCTATTAAAAAAGCTAAAAACATAAAGTAAAAAGATAGGAATCTGCAAGCATAAGGAGAAATTTTTACTTATAGCAAAGATTTGTTTGATTTTAAGCGAGAAATGTTGATTCAAAGATAATCTTTAATTTGATAAAAAAAATTAAAAAAAAAACGTTTTTCTTTAGAAGAAGAACTTATAAATCAATCGAAAACTTTAATCCATATCATTTACGATAAATTTAGATATTCTTAATTTCAGTAGCTTGATAGAAAGATGCACACAACCCTTTTATCTGGGAAACTATCCGAGATAAAAGCTAATGCTCGCTTTTGCCTTCCCGGCACACACAGACATCCAAAGGGTTAAGAAAACTTACAACCTCAAAATCTACGAAATACGAGCTTCCAACAGATTACTTCATTCCTTAAAACCGTTCACTAATTAAAGCCCAAATAAACTGTTTCGCGAAAAATACTCGCGGTTTATTCGCTTTCCGAATCCGAAAATAAACTTTGATTAACGGTCGCAATTTATTTCGGTGCATCTAATTTTCTCCATTAACTGCTGACATTTCGTATATTATATACAAATATCAGGGAAATGCAATATACGTTTATAGTAAAATATCAAATATCGAACAAACAAATTCGAATAGCGCGGAATATCGACTTAAAACTAGAAAAATATATATATAGACGGTTCTTATTCTATACATCTTTTTATGTTATTTTACAGTTTATACGATTTTTTTAAATATATAATTTTCTACGCTTCTAATTATTTATTTATCTTCTAATGCTGACATATCTCGCAATACGAAATTGCTACATCATGCGTGACACGCATGTCAAAAATTTTGTCTCTCTTTCTCTCTTTTCACAATTTTATCTTCTTCGAGAAAAAAAGTGATCTTTTTCCATCTGATTATTTTTATTAAAAAAATAATAATAATTCTGTTGTAATTTGATTATATAATAATTGATTTAAATCTTACGTAAGACCTCGTTTATATTGCAGCAGTTATTATTTAATTAATCAATGACATTTGATCAATATATGATATTAATTCTTCGACCAATTAATTTTTTCCCATACAATAACAGAAATCAACGGAGCAACGACTCTCAATCGGGTTCAAGTCAGCCGCGCAGATGTTTCGATTCATTAATTGATATCAGGATACGAACAAAACTCGTCGATCCGCGATCGTATCACAAAGGCCGCGCGTACATCTGGCTGTAGGATGGCTATTACGCGTGGACTATTGTGCGAAAACGATTAGGTGAACGTTGATGAAATGACCAGGCAAATCTGTATAAGGAATACACGAAAGGGTGCGAAAGAGAGAGAGAGAGAGAGATTCGGAAGTTCGTCAAGTAAATTCGATTAATGCTTTCGAATCTGGTCAGCCGCGAATCTCGTCAGAATGCGTAAAGGGCCAACTATACGGGATCTTTAGTAAATTGGCGGTGGTTACAACACAGAATCCTTGCGACGGATTAAATCGATATATGAGGGCAATTTCGTCGCGCGAGAGCACAACATAATTATTATTTTCTAAGAAATATTTTGAACCGATTTTCTGGATACATTATACAGCGCAAAGCGTGTGTGTGTGTGTGTCAAAAGTGCGGTCTTTTAATTAAAGCCGTTTAAAAGGCACACTTTCCTTGCAACATCAAAATGTATTCTTATTTTAATTAATATTTAATAATAATAATAATTATTATATCTTACAATATACAATAGACACATTTTTCTGACGCTTTCTAACAATCTAACGAACGCGCTCAGAGATGAGAGTCACGTTTCTTGGCGCAGCTCCCATGCTTTCACCGATTTTGTTTCTTGCGAAAGGATCTTACCGCAGGAAGAGTCTACCAGCACAATACACGGCTTTAAATTATAATGCGTCATATGTTATCCGCGGAACAAATTCCACAATAGAACGTAACAATATACCAGTCCATGAGGCGACACTCTGCCACAGAATTTTGTCACTTTGCACAAAGAGACGGGCGTTTGGAAGGGAATTCAATATCGCGTGGGAGTTGTTCATGGGGTTGGCAAGGGGTCTTCGTCAGACAGGCCGACGCCCTTGCACCCGATAGACCGTATCCCAACTATTCCAGACCAACAAATACTTAAATTGGATAGAGTATCGATATTTTGAAACGTATTGATTCGATTCGACAAATTTTGTGAAAAAATATTTTTCAACGCCAGAATTATATATACATGTAAGAAACGTTTCGTCTTGAATTATTCATAATAATAATTGCATAATAATAATTATTATTTTAATTAATATTTTAAATTCTTAATTTAATTAATTAATTAATTTTTATTTTTGACGTTCCAAATTTTCGAAAATAATATTATCTGAGAATCTTAAGATTAAATTAGGAATAGTAAATCGAATATACATACGGGATTGTTTCGATTATGGAGTATCATATCGCTGTAACGTGCGCCTGAAAAGGGGTGAGGGGGCGGTGGGAGGGCAAAAGGGGCAAGAGATTACAGCAACGATCGGTCAGGTGAGCGGTTCCTCCGCAGGTATGGTTTCAAAACAGACGGGCAAAGTGGAGAAAGCAAGCTCGGTTACAATTGCTGCAGGACGCGTGGAGAATGCGATGCTTGGGTTTAGGGAGCGCCACGCCGTTGCTGCTCGGCCGACCGCCTCCCATGAGTCCCAGCAGCCTCACCGAGAGGACCAACACCGCCACCGACGCGTCCTCCTCCACTTCGCCGTCGTCCTCGTCGGCCCTCGCAAATTCGCCGACCGCGAGCGATAAATTACCCGAGATCGGCGGTCCAGGATCGGCCTGCAGAGACTTTAGAATCCTGCCTCCGCCGCCACCCGGGTAAGTGTCTCGAATTATATAAGAAAACAACGCGCTATTTTTTATATATGTAAATAAAATGATTAGTCTATATCACACGCTTGTAATTTAAGATCGCAAAATTAACTGTATAATCTCTGCGAAAAGAATGATTGAATTGAAAATATCGATATTTATAATATCCTTTAATTTTAAAAGCGTTATTATCTAAATGAAACGCTTTATAATCTCATCTTTCACCGACCTTTCACAGATCTGAATTTAAAACAAAAACATCTTTACATCTTACCTTAGACATATTTGTATCGCAAATATCTTCATCTAGACGATTTCGAGATTATCTAAGCAGAACACTAGTCGTTTCGCAGATACTCGGTACCTTGCGACAAATCGCCCGATAGGCTCAAGTGCCGATGCGGAACGCCGCCGAGAATCTGCGCGAGTCCCGTGGATCGTGTCGACATCCTGACGACGAGGGAGCGGCCGCAGGAGGCAGAGATGGATCTAACTCTCAAAAGCCATCATCACGCGTCCGGCAGGCAGGTCACTACCCTGTTCCATCATCATGTAGCGAGCAGTCCTCAGCAAAACATGGACGAGCCTTTAGACGTCACTCTAAACAGCGCCAAGAACAACTGAGAGCGGGGAGATGAATTGAACGATATCCAAGACTTTTAATACTTTGAAATTATTTGATTCTCCCCCGCCGAGTGTGTATGATGTGTATCATATTTGGCGCTTATCGGAAGCGCTGAACTTCATCAGTTTCCAAGACGTTAAGATTTCTTCTTTTTCATTCTTCATCTTTTTGCTGAATCTTTCATGTTCAGTTGTTGCACAGTGTGATGGTAACTTAATTTTATACATAATAATATAAATATAATAATTTCACGCAATTAAGAATTAATTAACAAATCCGGGTCACGCTCGCTATATCAATACTTGGAGCTAAAGAAAAATGATTATCGAATGTTTTAATCGAAAAGAAAATCAATCATATCGCAACGTATTATGATACTCTTTATCGTTGTATATATATTTTTTATCGTTAGACTTATTTGTATTATATTGAGCGAATGTAATTTATAGCGACGTGCCGGAAATATATATTTAAAAGACAGGTATGTTGTCTTTTCGCGTACGGTTGTAACATTGGGATGTGCAGTGATTACAGATCGCAATGTGATCGAGAATGAAGTATTTTTAAAGCAATATTTTATAATAATAATTAGACGCTAAATATCTTTCAAGATACTCAATCCGACAGTATTCATAATCGAAGATTTTCATGTAAAAAAAGAAAAACATTAATTTTCTCAGTATTAAATCAAAATTATATACATATAAATTTGTTGTTTGGCAATTATAACATCACGATATTATCTTGCATTCTCTTACAAATTTCTCAACGTCTTGTTAATAGATTTGTTAATTATCTGTATATAACTCTCTCATATCTTTATTATTAAACAATAAAAGTTTCTTTCATTCTTTCGAGAAAAAAATACAATGTTAAAAGGATCGTAATTAGAAAAAAATAATTGATTTTATTCACCGAGTATTTTATTTTTGTAGAAAAAATTGCTATTTATTAGTATATATTACTGTGTAGAAAAAAATTAGTAATTTGTACAAAGTTGAACATGTATTTCTTATACGAAAGAAACTGAAAGGATTAAGCGATAAAAGTGCAAATGACCATTATCCGGATACAGTTTCATAGTCATGATTACGAAACTGTACTCGAATATATAAATCGTAATATCCGCAAAAATTCAAATTGTCTTTACAAAACATTTGTCATTTATTTTGCGCGTGCATAATTTTTATCTGTAAAAATTTTCAAAAATAAGACACAAATGAAATGCTGAAACGCGTTTCTGTATAGTAGTTTGATTAATACGTTCTGATGTCGATAATGATTAATCGAGGGAATAGCTCTCTATTGTGCCAGAAAAGGAACGGATTTTTTCTTTTAAATTTATACGATGTAAAATATCGCAAAATAAACAATTGTATAATCGGGTGCGTTAATGGTATTCCGGTTGCACTTATATATATCCAAGTTTTCCTATAATACATAAATGCGTATCTTCTCATTTTTACAGAATTAATTATATGCTTCAATTACTTTATGTTCGCGAAAAAAAGTTGTATTCTTATGAATACGATTGTATCGGTTCATCATTATATAACGTATCCAATTGCACATGATTATAAAATCGACTCAAGTCGATTCAAGTTGAAAAATGCATTCGCACATCTTCCAATTCGCGCCTGCGTGTGCGATATAATGACTGAGAGTAGAAAAAGATTTTTTTTCCAAGATGATATATATCCTTTCTTTTAGTTGTTATACTAGTTTTTCATAAGAAAATGCGAAATGTTAACGCTGTATATAGATTTGACATATATATAAAATTATAATTTATACATAAATAAATGAATAAATAAAAATATAACACAATACTCAAATATTTAAAATATATTTGTTTTAGAAATAAATATTAATCGCTAAAAATATGATTTCTATTTATTCTACATGTTTCCCATTTAAAAATAAGACATGTAATAATAATTCCTTAATTATATAAATTTTTAATACCGTATATTTCCAAGTTTATTAAAATTATAATTGCGTTTCTGCTAAAGTAAAGATATATATATTTAAATAAAATATTAAATATCTGAAATACTGAAGCACAAAAAAATTATATATTTTTTAAGATAATGATCTCTGAACTTATTAAAATCTTTTATCTCTAATATTATGCGCGCCTAAATAATATATTTCAATAAAGTTATAATTACTCTCTACTGCTGTTTCTCATTCAAGATCAAATTGTTATAATAATTCGCTTTTAATCCTTAACTTCAAATTTTAATTAAATAAATAGGTTTTTAACCAATAATTTCTTATTGCGTGTGAAAGGAATATCATAAATAACAAGACCTTTGTAAAATAATTTTGTATTTAATTCAAAAAGTATTATTACTTTTTCGCAGCTTTTTTCGTGCTCTTCTTTGCTGCATCGCCAGTTTTAACCTTCTTGGTTTTCTTTTTTAATCTGAAAAACGCGTCTGTCCGCAATTTGTTCCTTATCTGCCTTGCTTTACGCAGCTTGAAACGATCAAAATCACAAAGTGCCGCACGCTGAAACAAAGAAGATTCCTTCTAATAAATCATATGTCAAAGTGTATTTTACTATCGAGATTGTAACTGTATCATCAGAATTAAGCTAGCATCATTTAAATCAGCCGGCATTTCCTATCAATAATATTGGTTCATCATATACACATTAAAGCTATTTTACAAAAATCTAATATGATAAGAAACATGTTTGGAATATCTTCTCTTTCTTTTAAGAGGTAGAAACTTAGGTTAAGAATATCGCTTTTTAAATCGAACATGAATACAATAATAATTATTCAACATAAATAGCATTTATTAATTGGTAATGAAATTAACGAATTTTTTGAATTACCTTCTTTTTAGCTTCAACCTTTCTGGACCACATTGTTTGCTTCCACAATTCATTGATATTAGCTGTTTCCCATACTTTACGTACGACACGAGTGGATCCAGAGAACGGGAAACGTAAGCGGAATTTCGTCAAGTGAAGCTCGTTGAGCCTCATTTCACAACGAGGTACACCTGTTGATGGGCCATCGACCAGAACCTTAAAAAGAATAAAAAATTAAATATTGAATTCTAATAAAATTATTATGGAAATCGCAATAACTGTATCATCAGACATAAATTGGCATCATTAAGGTCAGCCGGCATTTCCTATCATAATACTGGTTCATCATTTAAGTAAATTATAATTAAGAAATTATAGAGAAATATATATATGAAAATAAAATATCAAACTTCTCAGGAAACAGTTGTAGCATTTATTTATATCTTTGTTATATCAAAAAACAATTATAGTCTGTCTGTATGTAAACCTCTTGTATAATATTATTTGCAGCCGAAACATAATTGTAATCAATATTCTAATGTTTTGCCGCTAATGTCTCTTATTTACAATGAACATTGCCTACTTCATACTATAGTTCTTTATATTGAAAAGCTTAAATACAATTTAATAAAAAGAAATATTATTCTTACCCGATTCTGATCAATAATATCAACGATGGTGACCAATTTGCCTTGGTAAGGTCCATCGCTCACATAGGCCACACGGCCTGACTGCACAAATCTTTGAAATGGCTGTTAATAAAAAAGAGCACAGTATTAATGATGGCTTATAATCTATATTAATCTGCAACTTTAAAAATAATAAGTTCTAGTATACAATATTAAAATTTTACGATGCGTTACATATGTATTCTTGTAACGCAGAATTAAAATATAAGAAAGTATAACTTGATACAGTAAAAAATCAATTGTAAAAAAGCTCTATTTGCATAATAAGATTTAAAAGATTCGAATATATATATA